TAATCAGATTTTGTTTTTGTTTTCTTGCTTGTTAACATACACTGGAGTAATTTTCAATGGTCCTTTCAATCCTTATTTTAAACAAGAAAAACTAGAATGTCTAAAGATGGTAATGATAATCTGAGTGCAAGAAGCTTTTCTTTATGAGTTTGAGTGCAAAGAGATCTGAGTTCAATAATGATCATTTTTCAGTTTGTATATGGATGGTTACCTATGTTTTATAAAAGCTATGTAAAGACATAGTGAGTACATTTGAGAAGCTTCTAAGGGTCTCTATGGCTATCATTGCCTTTGAGGACCAGCTTATATTTTCTGCCTTGAGAGGAGTCTGCTGGGAACTGCTGTTTTATATACTCAGTCTTTACTAGTCACTAAGAGTTAAGCTTTCCTAGAAGGGACCCTTGATTCTTTCTGCTCCATCACTAGTTGGCACTTTAAAGGATGGGACTCAAGTTTAATCCTAGTTTCTAGTGTTCTGGAGTGAATGAATTCCCTAACTTTTCTGATGAGATAATTTTTACCACTTGTATTATTTACCACAGTAACATTACTGCTAGTTGTAGCAATGGGGTATTCTAGGGCAGAGAAGCAGAGAAGGCTTTTTATATTTTGTGCCTTCATTTTTTTAGTTTAAAATTATTAGATTAATATGTGGATGGATGTTTGAACTACATGTATGTCTATGAATTATATGTGTGTCTGGTGCTCACTGAAGCCAGAAGAAGGCTTTGAATCCCCTGGAATTGGGATTACAGATGATGGTAAGCCATCATGTGAGTGCTGGATATTGATCTCAGATACTCTGGAAGAGCAGCCAATGCTCTTAACCACTGAGCCATCTCCCTAGCCCATAGACATTTTTTAAGTGTGCCTAATGCTGAATATAAAAACTAAGTCTATGGGGAGATAGTGAAGTCCTGGGTGAATGAGTGTTGTTGCTATGAGCATGGCCAAGTCCAGAACTTTAATGCCCCAGCTCCATGGCAGTGCAAAGCCTTCCCCAGGTGAGGCTCAGAGAGATAGCATAGCCTTCCTCTGAATTGAGTGCAAATGTTGAGTGCAGAAATGTCATCCATAGTTTTTCTCCCTGAGGATATTTATGGCCTGAAGAAAGATCATACTGTGATTAGCTAAACTTGCCTCCTGCATCGTGTTCAGCTGGGTTATGTAACCCTTTCCCCCCTTTACAATGGTTACCTACAAACATGATAAGCTTCTGGTGTGCTGTGACTTCTCCATCTGAGAACCCAGACCACCTGATTGATCTCAGCTTTTCTGTTTTTCTGTATATATGTCTGTCATTTCTTCATTCCTTTGTTTCCCCAAGTCAAGTCAGACTTCTGAAAGCCATTCATAAGGCTACTGTTGCTCTGTTACGTGGTATTGTGACAAGCTTTGTGTATTCTTGGCATTTTCAACTAAATTTAAATACCTTACTAGCCATATGTCTCTATGATATGATACCTTTCCTTACCCATCCTAAGGGTTGTGGCAAAAACAACTTTAACATATAACAGGTTAGTAACAGGAAAATATCAATTTTCTGTAACCAAAGTGTACCTGGCATGGGAAGCAAACGAAGGCATAAACTCACAAAGATAGCTGTCTGCTTTTACTCTTAGGTTTGGTAAAAATACCAGCAAATAGAGGGGAAATCTAGCCCTGCCTGTTTAGATTCTTCTTGGTACTTCTGTGTAGCATTTCTTCCTTGTAAGTAGTGTCTGTGATCATGTTAGGTCTCATGGTGGGCTGAACAGCAAAGAACTTAGAGCACATGACTGGCTTTTGAGCCTCACCTCAAGAGACAATGTGGGGGTTTACAGACAGGAGATGAGGAAGCCAGAGAGATCTTGCTGAAGTGGCCTCCCAGACTCCTTTAATTCAGACTATTTGGCATGTCAAAGGACAAAAATCTTTGAAGTACCCGAGTCCCAACACATGGTAACTCCCTATTCAATACCAATTAGCATCCAAGGCCTTGCACCCAATATTGGAGGCAATACAGAGCATATGCTTCTTCTATATTTTTAAGGCATATGCCATTGTATTCTAATATAAATATGGACAGTGTCATAGGGGATCTTTTAATTTTCTTTCATTGAATCTAGCTCAATATTGTACAAACAGAAAGTTACTAACAAATAATTGTAGCTTATCCCTATAAAGTACATTTTTATTTTAATGTTCCTTAAACATAGGATAAATACATAGTTAAATATAATAAATGTAAAAGTAGGGCTTAAAATAATCACCTTTTAAACCCAAATTTCAAATGTCTATGATTCCCTAAATTTCTAGTAAGTTTTCTGAAAGTACTTAGTGCTATTTGGACCAAAGGTAGATTTCAAAACACTCACGTGATGAGCTAATGCATTTGCAAAAGACTTCTGAGCGAGGTTATATATTGCTTAGACTGCAAATGAAAAATGCAAAGGAGTGAGGAGTCAAGACCTCCTGAGTACCCTTGAAATGCTTAGTGGTTTTTCTTGCTTCCTTTTCCTTCATAGTACACCATGCAGCCCTGCTAGTAACCTGTCAATCAAACAATATAGGAATATCTCTTAAGGCTTAGACTATGAAATCACATGATGTAAAACCTGGAACTAACAGGAAAGATAGCACAGCAGTTAAAGTACTGTATCACCTTTGCACTTTGACTTGTTCAAGTTTTATCATCACCATGCTTTCAGTTCAACCACAACTACTCACAGCACCAGAGTGTTCATTCTGTTCATGTAGATACAACTTCCTGTTCCCTGAAGGACCTGCTGGGTAGTCTGGAGAAATTTTCTTTTGAGTATCTAATCAAGAGGCTCATGATTGTCCTCTAAGGTTTTTCAGTGTGTGCGTGCATGCATTCATGTGTGTGTGTGTGTATGTGTGTGTGTACTCAAACACATGCTTATGTGTCACAACCCACATGAGTGTGGAGTATGAATGTGGAGGTCAGAGGACAACTTGTGGGAGTTACTTCTTTCCTCCCACCAGATCCTTAGGCTTAATAGGAAGTGACTAATTCCTTTACAGGCTCAACCATTTCTCTAACCCATACTCCATATTTTTAAGGGAACAAAGCAACTTAATATATGAGACTAGAAAGAAAATGTATAGTATATAGTTGAAGACATTTCATTCTTATATTTTTCTACAAGAGAAATGTTTTTGTTAATGTAGCACACAAAATACATTAATCAGTTAACTGTCATCAAGTCCTTGGTACCATTCTTGGGGTAGGCTGTTTAATTATGTCTTCAAGTAGGAAATAATCCATTTAGATTTTAACTAAATGTAAACACATTTTGGAATATATTCCCTACATTTTTTATACATTTGGAGGCCTCAACTAAGATCTGCAATAAATATACTGATTACATTGATCTCTGCCTGTATGTGTAAGATATACATTAGGAACTGAAGAACTAGGATTAGTTACAAGGCCAAACCATTCATTAATCACTTCCCAAATGAAAAAGTCTTTCTCTATTAAGCTGTGTTTAATACTCAGTTTGATTTTTGAAATGCTTTTACTGTAGTCTCTGATATTTAATTGAATGTGAATTGAGATTTGAGGGTGCTTGCCTTTTCCAGCATGTGTTTAGCCAGCAAGTTGTACCAATATGTGTAGCATTAACATCAGTTGAACCAGGCTCTTATGAACAATGTCATAATAATGTTACCAGTGATGCTGGTTTATTACCATTTTGCTAAATAGAAAAAAATAAAATAGTTGAGATTAACAAGAAAACAACAACAAGAAAAACAAACAGACACAAAGGGCAGAACGCGACTCGCCCATGCCGCTTACCGCCCTCACTCATTCAGAGCTGGCACCCTCTGAGATCAGCAGGTTCCTACACGCGCTAGGCAAAGCAAGGCGCTGTGCAGGGCCAGGGCGTGCCCACCTGCAAACTGCTGGCTGTCTGGAGCCTGCAAACACCTTGCGAGTTCCCAGAGGCTCTGGAGAAGTCTGCCTAGGCCACTCAGCTCAAAGCTGTAGACAGAAGGCTGACAGCGTCCAGAAGCTTTTCAGTGTGTCAGCAACTTCACTTTGCAGAGCTAGCTGGTGGAGGGCTGAGGAAAGCCCTCTGACCAATCGCTCGCCAATACCCATCGCTGCCCTAGCATACCTTTTGTTCTGATCATTGATTCGAGTGTTGGCCGCCGTGCCAGGCGTGCAGGGGCACCACGATCCCTGCCTCCAGAGGCCACCTCCCGCCCTCAGCGCCCAGCCCAGAGCCCGCCGCCACGAGCCTGCACTGCTGAGACACGCCCCTCTCCTCCCCGCGGAGCTCGGACTCGCTGGGGCTCCTAGGCTCCGCCCACCCCTCTGGGAGCCTGACTCTCTTTCCTGCCCCGGTGCACTCGAGACTCAGAAGAGCCTCGGGAAGGGCTGCAGGGGCTGCAGCTTTCATGGACGGCGAGCAGGGTGCAGGCTAGCAGCGCCAGGTCCGCGGCCACGCGCTCTTGAAAGGACCCCCGAGGCTGAGCGCGGGCTGGGAACGCGGCCGGAAAAAGCGGCGGCGCGGTGGTCCCACAGAAGGTCCGGGCTTGCAAGGTAGGGAGTAGGCAGATGGCCAGGCAAAGTTGATTGATGCGGGGAGGTGGCCGGCCTGCGCCCTCTCGCCACTGGAAACCGCCAAACGACTTGGACTTGACCCCGCCGCGCCCTGGGCGCGCAGTGCAGCGCCGATCTGCTGCTGCCCTGCGCGGGAGCGCACTTACAAACTTGGTCGAGGTGCCCTGCGCGTCCTGTTGTGTAACCTCTGCGCCGCCAGCTGGACCGGGAAGTTGCCCGCCCGTCCTTCAGTCTCAACTCCAGGGTGAATTTCATGGCCCGGGACGATCGCGCGGCCAGAGCTGGCGTGGGCAAGCCCCCGCGCGCCCCGACCCGTGGGGAACTCCCGCGCGCTGTCCCTTCCCCTCACCCGATCCTCCGATGCGCTCTGAGCCTCTCGACATTGCCGGATCGCCACGGTCTGCCCCTCCGAGTTGCTGCTTGAGTTGGAGAGCAAAAGATGACCGAGGTGCCTTGGCCGGCTGTCCCCAATGGGACGGACACAGCCTTTCTGGCTGGCCTGGGCTCGCCTTGGGGAAACAGTACAGTAGCCTCCACAGCAGCAGTTGCCTCTTCGTTCAGATGTGCCCTGACCAAGACCGGCTTCCAGTTCTACTACCTGCCGGCGGTCTACATCTTAGTGTTCATCATAGGCTTCCTTGGCAACAGTGTGGCTATTTGGATGTTCGTTTTCCACATGAAGCCTTGGAGTGGCATCTCTGTGTACATGTTCAACTTGGCTCTGGCCGACTTTTTGTACGTGCTCACCCTGCCAGCCCTCATCTTCTACTACTTCAACAAAACTGACTGGATCTTCGGGGATGCTATGTGCAAGCTGCAGAGATTCATCTTCCATGTAAACCTCTATGGCAGCATCTTGTTCCTCACCTGCATCAGTGCACACAGGTACAGCGGCGTGGTATACCCTCTCAAATCTCTGGGCAGACTCAAAAAGAAGAATGCCATTTATGTCAGTGTGCTGGTGTGGCTCATTGTGGTGGTGGCCATCTCCCCCATTCTCTTCTACTCTGGCACTGGGATTCGGAAGAACAAAACCATCACCTGCTATGATACCACCACTGATGATTACCTACGAAGTTATTTCATCTACAGTATGTGCACAACAGTGGCCATGTTCTGCATCCCCTTGGTGCTGATCTTGGGCTGTTATGGATTAATTGTTAGAGCTCTGATTTACAAAGACCTGGACAACTCTCCCCTCAGAAGGAAATCCATTTACCTGGTAATAATTGTTCTGACGGTGTTTGCTGTATCTTACATCCCTTTCCATGTGATGAAAACGATGAATTTGCGGGCACGTCTCGATTTCCAGACCCCAGAAATGTGTGCTTTCAATGACAGGGTTTATGCCACTTACCAGGTGACACGGGGTCTAGCAAGTCTCAACAGCTGTGTGGACCCCATTCTTTATTTCTTGGCTGGAGATACTTTCAGAAGGAGATTGTCCCGAGCCACCAGGAAAGCTTCCAGGAGGAGTGAGGCCAATTTACAATCCAAGAGTGAAGAAATGACTCTCAATATTTTATCCGAGTTCAAGCAAAATGGAGACACCAGCTTGTGAAGGCGCAAGACCCAAACACCTCACTTTTGTAATGTGGTAGGATGCTCCCAGAACCAGATGCTTTGCTTCTCCTTAGGTTCCTAGTAATGTTAGAGAATACTGCAAACAAGAAAGTAGTCAGTTAAAAAAAAAAAAAGCATCAATTTGTTACACATTCACGTTTATCTCTCCTGTAAGCTCCCTTCTTACTTACTAGAAGTATATGTAATCAAACAGTACTACCTAGATAAACACTTCCTCTTCTTCCTTTGAAATTCCCAGGCTTTTCTATTTAAAGTGTGTGTGCATGTGTAGCAGAGCAAATTTGATATTAAAAGTTTCTCCAAGAAAACTGGCCACCTGGAATTTGAGTTTGTGATTTGTCCAGCCTCTGTTGCTGTGAATAACTCATGGTATATATGAACAAAAATCTATACTTTCAAAAACTATTTGGCATAGTATAATGAAACACTGGTCAGCAGATGCCTGTGGTATATGTCTTTCAGTTCCTCAGAAGCATAGATGGTGGCTGATAATGTCTTTGGGGAATTGAATAGAAAAATAAAATCAATGAACTTTTATGTGTGGAAAATGAGTATTTCCAGTTATTTTTGGACTTTTATGTGTGGAAAATGAGTATTTCCAGTTATTTTTGGAAAGCTGATTACTGCACATTTCTTGTTTAATGTTTGGTGATGGGAGGCTGCGGATGTTATATTGTTGGCAAAATACACTCAAAATAATTGAAGTGCATGTGTTTTTCTTATAAACATTGTGGACCGTTAGGATTCCTGAGATAAAAAATTTTCACTCGAACCACTGCTGTGCAATGTCTTTGGACTTTGTGTTCCAAGAGAAGTGCTCACTCACATCTGTGAAAACAGTTTTGAGAAATCACAGTTAAATTTTAGACTGAAAGTTGGTTGGGTGAAGCAGAAGGACTGTCAGATGGAGGGCTATTGAGCAGGAGGTCAGAGTTTCAGAGGGCCATGGTTGACAGACATTCACAATGCAGATAGGCGTGGGGGTGGGGGAGAATTCTAGAAGAATGAGAAGGTTCTTTTTGTTTCTTCAACATACTTGAAAATATTAAATGCAGGCTGAAATGTGAATGTCGTAGGTGTGACAAGAGGATGGAAAGCTGTAATCTTTTGACAGATTTTAATATCATAACTTCTAAGGACCTGAGACAGCATAAAACTGTAAAGAAGACCATTGATAGTTTTCATTGAGCCCTTTGTAGTTAAGGGATAGCCAGTGTTTTCTACCCTTGCCTGTTACATAGTAGTGGAATATTTGTAAAAGATATTGAAATTTAAAAATAATTTCCACTGAATAACGAATTGCTACATTTGTAGTCCTTGGAATGGTCAGCTTTAATTCAATTAAAATAATGAGGAAATAAAATAGTCACAAATAAATAATCTGATGTCCATGGAACTTTAGCTGTGAAAGGTATTCTTTACAGACCACCAGTCTTCTGAGTTTGTAAATGATGGCAGAAAGCACTTTTTAAGGAAAAAAAAAAAAAGACCTTTTGTGCCTCATAGGATATAATGACATAAAATTCAGGGTTTGGTGTTAGTTTTCACATACAAGTGACTGGCAATCTGGGAGATCTTTGGGTTTTTTTCTTGGCCCAGTATCATTTTACTCAGGACCATGAAGAAAAGCTGCATTTAGCCTTCCTATCTGGTGATTCTTTCCCACATTCAGTCTTACCTGAAGAAGACACTTTCAGGGTCTCCCACTTTTGAGGTTTTCAGAGTTCCTAAGTGGGAAGATTCATGCAGCATTTTCTGTTTCCGAATCCTACAGACAAAATCTAAAATACATCCACATTATGTTGACACTTCATAAATGTTCAGTGGCTCAAAAGTAATTTTGTTAAACTAATCCAAATGGAAATTTTATAAAGGCACAGTTCAGTGATCCATATGTCTTTATCACTTTCTCATTATTTAATACAGATTTCTCCATTTGAGTCTCAGGATTCCAGCCTGACCTCAGATATGTGTTAAATGCAGTGTTTCAACTTTCATAAATCGTTCCTTGGGAGTGTGTCTTGGTGAGGGGAACTTTGCCATGTTCTTCATTCTGAGGCTTGGGCTCAGGTCTTAGTGGATACTAGGCAAGAGGTCAACCACTGAGAAACAGCCCCTGAGGAAAAACACTTTCTTCCTGAACTTGCTTCATCATTTAACATAGTAATAAGACTGACTGTGCCAACTTCTTCTTGTTCAAAAGAAGTCCCTGAGATAACCTGTGCATGCACATGTCAGAATGAAGCAACACGTTGTTCGCCAAAAGGCCATCTGACATGAATAAGCATGTCCATAGTAGAGATAGATCTGTTGACGTTTTCATGGATGACACCGAAATTGTAAGATTTAGCAAGCCACTAAATTTCACACTACGAAACTGTTTTTATTCCAAGTACAAGGATTTCTGTTTGTTGTTGGTTTTGTTTCTATTCCTTACAAATTGCTCTTTGACTCTTAGAAGATGGCTTTGAACTTATATTGAACTGAAGTGATAACGAAGAAACTTAGCACGTGAGTGAGAATTCAAAATTAAAACCACTGTGGATACTGAGAAGTTGTTGGTCTCCTGATACTTGAAGCCCATTCTTCATGAACAGCAAAGGTGACAGGACATCACATGTTGACACTATTGGTAGTGTGGCAAATCTTGAAAAGCAGACAATGAGAACTATTTGGAACATGTTTCTGTATCTCCTAGGACTCTCCCATCTAGTCCTTGGATAAAATTCTTAGTTTTCATCAACTGTGGTATGGACAGGTTGAAACCTGAAAGTCTCTACTTATTCAGCCAGGACACTAAACCAGCTTTTGATATGACAGATACCATTACTTAGCAATAGCTAGAATACAACTAGTGGGAGGACTTAGAAGATGTGATGCAATTATTGTAAGAATATTTATTGATGAAGCTCATGGGCCTTCAGCTGTACAGACTGTAAAACTTTCTTGAATGTAAACATACCGATGTAAATTCTATTTATTGCAATGTATAATAGTCAAATGTCACACTGGCACATTTTATAATAATATATAATGGTAGATAAAGTGACAATTATATTTAAGATTTTTTTCAGATATTAGTATTGAACATTTAAGACTAGTTTCTATTTGGATCTAAACAAATATGCTTTATCATGTGTTTAATTTTCCCTGGATTTTGGATTTGCATGGTTTCCTTTTATTTAGGGTTCTTATTCTACAGACATAATTTGGTATTAGATTATCATAAGATTAGATTATCATAGTGAGTGTAGAATGTTTTAGACAATTTCTGCATTATGATAATACATATATATACATATATATTAATTACATTTATATTCTAGAAAGTTGATTTGTCTTTTCAGAAAGTTTAAAATATTGCCCCAACTATGGTCAGGGCTTCCACTGCCAAGGGGTGAAGGTTTGTCTCCTACTCAAAATTGTTGATTTAGAAGTCTAGTGGGTTGGGCATTATAGTTATAACTTAAGAATTTAAAGACAAACTTTAGTGAAACAGGGAGAGAAAAGTATAGCGGATAGTTTTCTGTTAGATCTTGAAGCTTTGTATTTTATTTTCTTCTTATGGTAACACAGTGCAACCTTAAGTTCTCTGAGGTGGGGTTTTTATGTAACACTACCAACAAGTTCAGCAATTGCAATTGATTTAATCTGTTCTCTTTGGGAAGTTAGTAGCTTTAATGTCTACATTTTTAGTGATAACTGTATCATTTGGCTGCTAAATTCTGTCACATTTTTAATGAAGGTGAATTTATGTTACATATCAAAATTTGTGCATTTGAATTATGTCTTAGCAATTTTGAGAGAAAATTTTATTTTTATAATGTCTGTGATTCTAATATAGATAATCCAAGTAGATTTCTTTGTGATTACCAGTGCTTTCGAGTGGTATGTAACAGTGTTACTTGATGTTTTGAGCCTTCTTGGGTTCATGTGCCTCAGTGGTGTTCAGCAAATTTGGACTGATTGCATATAATTGTCTTTGTAATAAAGAAGAGGTATACTTCCTGCAAAAGCCACAAAATTGTTTGACTGTAGGAGGCTACAGAATCTCCCATGTTTCTCCCTGTGTGTGTGTGTGTGTGTGTGTGTGTGTGTGTGTGTGTGTGTGTGTCTGTGTGTGTGTGTGTGTGTGTGTGTGTGTGTGGTGTCTAAGGCATGGCAGCCAACCTTGTATCTGCTATTTATAGTAACAGAAGTGCTTCATAATTGTGGTCATCAGAATTACAGACAAAAACTGAGAAAGGTTCAATAAAACTATGAAACGTAGTGATGGTGTCTGTGTTATTACACTGTTCTTGCTCAAAAGTTTCCTCACATTTAACACATAATACACAGAGTGGCTGGGTGGTGGTGGTGCGTGCATTTAATCCTAGCACTTAGGAGGCAGAGGCAGGTGGTTCTATATGAGTTCAAGGCCAGCCTGGTCTACAGAGTGAATGCTTGACAGGTTCTAAAGCTACCTGTCTTGAAAAGCCAAAAAAAAAAAAAAATAGTAATAATAATAATAATACACAGAGTGTTAAATACTGCAGGATACATTGTTTTAATTTGGTAATTTCTTAAAATGACAACTGAGCTATAAAATTATATGATACAAGAAGAATCCTTGTGTAAATTAATCCCTAATCTTATTATTTGATATTTTAAAAAGGATATAAGTTGTTTGAGGGGTGGTGGTTTTCAGACAGGGTTTCTCCGTGTAGCCCTAGCTGTCTTGCAAATTGATTCATAGACCAGGATGGCCTTGAACTCACTGAGATCTGCCTGCTTCTGCCTATCCATGGAAATAATTATATTAACCGTCCTTTGTAAGTTCCATTTTTCAACTTATATTGCCTTTGTCACCCAAATGTAAGATAAATACACACAATACACATGTATGCTGTCTCAGTAGAGATACACACACAATGCAAACTGTCTCAGTAGAGAAGATAAATTTGCAATGATACAGTATTGGGTTTTCTGGCCTTTTCCAGAACTTCCCTGTAACAAATTCTTGTGGAGATGTGGACAGGACATGCAAATCTCATCCAGCCCTTAAGAAACAGGTAAGTCCATTGACAAGTCTTCATTACATGTGTTGGGAAGACAGCACTATTTGGGACATCAAGTTTTTTTGTTTTTTTTTTTGTTTGTTTGTTTGTTTTGTGTGTGTGTGTGTTGCTGTGTACTAAGGTGTATGTGGGCATTGGAGTATGTATTGGGATAGAGTATTTATGCTGGAGTGTATGAATGTGCATGGGAACTACAGTGTGTACTGGGGTGTGTGTAATTCATACTCAGGAATAATGCATATAATTGTCTTGCTATTTTAAGACTTTGTCCTAAAGTTTTAACAACTTTGGTTTTCTAAATCACCTTAAGTTTGGAGTTACAGAACATTTTTCAGCACATAAAAGTGCATTTTATTTCTCTTCCTTCTGTTAATATATTAGAAAATTTAAATGCTCTTTTCATGAAATGTTGAATTCTGCCCCAAATAGCATCAGAGCTTCCATTTTCAAATGTAAAAGCTGTCCCTATATTCAGAGCTCATCTGTTATGG